GGGAGGGGGGGAAGGGGGACACACATAATGGGAGACATCACAAAATACATTTCAAATACAAGAATAGGAAGTGGAGAGTATCAACTATATTCCAGAGACGTTGGGTTGGGCATGAGGGGCCAAATTGTCCCTTACTATCCAAGGAATGGGGAAAGCAGTGACCTGCTCTCCCAGGCAAACTTTCAGAAAAAACAACTACCAACCCTACTAACAGTCTGTAAACTAGACATTAGAACAGTAACTGATAACATCAGTGTCTAGGCCATAGGTATTACTAAAAGGGGGGTGACCAGGAATATAGAATGGACCCAGAAGGTGACTGGAGACACCATAGACAGGCATACCTATACGTCGTCGTTGGAGGTGCCCGAACCCTTCGAGTTTGGCATATGGGGTGAGGACTATGTGGCCAGGGTGGTGCAAAATGGAAGGGAGCCATAGACCTCTGCGGGAATACCTGAGTAATTCACCGTGCGCAAGTATGTAACGTGGTCCTAGTGGGCAGGGTTGCAATTAGTTATAGGGACAAGGCAACACCTCCAACGCAAAGGGAGTTGGAGGTGTTGTACATTCAGAAATTAGGCAGATTCACTAAAAAACAACATGAGTAACAACTGGTTTGAACTGGTTTGAAAGCTGCAACTGCGGTCCATGGACCTAGATAGCCTAGCAAGAACTGTCAACCAGCCGGTAGACAGAATGGCATGGAGTCGAGTGGGCAAGCGGGCAGGATGCCATCCATGCCTAGTCAGGATGTCTAGGCATGGCCGCAGGCTTCTACGTTTGGAGATGATGGAGGGGGCCAAATCTGTGAATAGCTGGTATTCGTGGGCCTGGAAGGTCAGCGGAGCCTGGGAAGCCTTAGCTCTTGCAGGTGCGAGCAGGGATTCTTTAGTGCGATAAAAGTGTAGTTTCACTAATACATCGCAGGGAGGACCGTCCTCTCGTCTGCGTTTCAGTGTCCTGTGGACCCGCTCAATTTTCAGACGGTCGACCGGGATGTCAGGGGCCAATTCCTGGAAGAGCGTGGTCAACGTGGAGAAGAGATCCTTGATATAGCATGGTGTCAAATCTTTGCAGAAGGGCGGAGTGGGAATGATTGCGTGAACGGTCCCCTTCCTGACCATCGTCCTCCATGTCGCTGCTGGATGCTGAGGCAGCTCGTGGCGGTGCCACGTGTCAGCGAGGAGTAGACACATTTTAGCTGAGGCCCTAGCCATCGCCTCAGCAATAGGCTTACTTTTGTTTTTCTGGGCATTCCGGGTGCTCGAAGCAGACATGGTCAGTCGCCGTATGGGGGCCGGTCTCTAAGGAGATGGAATCGGTAAGTGAGGAGCGTTTAGCTCCAGGCTAATATGATGCCTGGGAGGGCTGCGGAGCTGTCTCAAAAGCAGTCCGCCATCGACGACTTCGCAAATGTCATTTTTTGAAAATGCATTGGCGACTTGGCTCCTGGGATTTGTTCATCCCTGAATTAATTGGTTAGCACAGCACCTCTCAGTTTGGGACTTTATCTAAAGGCAAGTATTGTCCTAAACCCACAATGACCTTCTAACCCACTAGTGTGACAGCATGTTGAGTGTCCTTTCAACAAATTAGGTATTATTAATGCCCTAATTTAGCAAGCTGTGATTACATTTAAGGTGTGCTAAAGTGGCCTTCCAAAAAATGTTATTGCGTGTTAATATTGCTTGAGAAGACACTTGCATGAAGCGTGCCTTCAGTGTCACCATTTGGGGAATCAGGCCAATTATGATATCTAACTACAAAAGCTATTGGACAAATGCTATGCTATAAGAGGGGAAAACAATGTGAACTAATTGCTAATTAACTGCTAATGCTCTGCTGACTATTTATTCCAGATTGGAGCGTATGACAAACAAATATGGGAAAAATCAGTAGAACAGAAGGAGATAAGGGTTAAGGTAAGAGGTTATGTAATCTTGTATTAAAGCAAATGTGTAGGCTTTAAAGTACCCTCTAATGTATGGATAAAACACCCTATGCCTGGGTTTACAGTTATCCGTGTCTGCTATTCTGTGTGTTTTAATCGCCTATTTGCATGTATGTTGAAGCCCATTTTACATACATTCTAATGTATCATGAGTTTTGTTGTTTTAGACAATAAAGATTAGTTTCCTGCACTCAGGGCAGGATTTACTCTCCCTGCTGCCCCAAGTCCAGGTTCCCTAATGCACCTCCCTACCCGCCAACCCCCCCCCCCATGGATAATGGCAGACCTGCAGGCTGCATACAAGTGATCTCAGCAAAATCACCAAGATCACTTGTACAAAATAAGCGGTGGCTTCGAGCTTGCCCAAAGCAGGGCTCTGCTTGCCCAAAGCAGGGCTAAATGTAGAAAACTAGCCGCCCGGTGCCCGTAACTGCATGTTCCGGGCATCGGGAGATAGGAATTCTACACCCTTCTGCTCCTCTACACCCTGCTGCCCCAAGGCCGGGCCTTGGTTGGCCTTGTGGGAAATCCGGCCCTGCCTGCACTGACATCATTGTTGTGGACATTTCTCTTACGGACAGAGGAGGAATAAGATGTGTCAGACAAATTTTTCCAAGATCTTCTGAATCTCTCTCTTTCTTTGTAATAGCAATAGGAGGGTTCATAT